GCCGCTGCAGCGATCATGGCCCCCGGCCGCTGCAGCGATCATGGCCCCCGGCCGCTGCAGCGATCATGGCCCCCGGCCGCTGCGCGGCCTGGTGCCAGGTACTCCACGGCCCGGCACCGGTCCGTGGACCGGGGGTTGGGGACCACTGGTGTAAATAACTGAATAAGCCTAGTTTCTGCAAAATTAAGAATGGGGCTGGAAATTTGTGGAATCAATTTAACGTAGGTGTTAAGGTAAGATAAAGCATGCATTTTCTGAAGCAAAACATAAATTGAAATGGTTCTGAAATTTCACTTTTTTCAAATGTTGTGACATAATATTTTTAAAAATGTACATAAACATTTTTATACTAAAGACATGTATTCATAAAAGCATATAATGATTAAAAATTAACCAAAACAGTTTTGGAAATAGTTCTAAAAGCAGTATGCACAAGAACAAGTATTTAAGGAGAAATTAGCATTAACATACATGCAAATTTTAATGCAGACTGTAAGAAACAATTGTAGACAAATATAGGAAGAAATAATGTTAAGTGTGGGGAAAAAAGGTTGACAAATCTATTTATAAATTTGTCCGCCGCTAAATAAAAGGAAATCTTATCTCATTGACTTTAGAACTGTCATTAAATAAATACCATATGAACTTCCTAATAGGTAAATAGGTAAAAAATTAGAAAGCTTTAAGAAAATTCCACAATATGTTTTGATAATCATACAGGCTGGCATAGGAATCTTGTTGGTGTAAAGTAAATGTGTGTGTATTTTCTGCTTTCCAATTCTTTGGCTTAGTACAGTATTTCTTATTCCTTTTCTGCTTTCTGTATAACATCTATCATGAAAAGTTATAATGTGATAGGTATGTGTATATGGGGTTAGAGATTGGCAAACCAATTAGCCATACTCTGTACAATATAGCTGGGTTGTATGTTTCATGTTTCAACCAAACCATACATATTTGGTATGGACATTGACTGAAACACAGTTATTTTGGGGGATTTAATTAGAACGGGAAAGACACTAAGAAAAGAAAAGCAAATCCTGAAAATACCTGTGGATGGGTGGACCAAAAAGGTGGGATGTATGACAATTTAAGCTACAACACTTTCCAACCTTGACCTACTTGCCTCGTGAAACCACTGTGGAATCCTAAAGGACTTTATAGCCTTTTGATTCTAACCAGGAGAATTTTTCATTTTGTGTACTCTCTATACATGGCCATATATACATAGGGACATTAGCATCAGTGAATAATGTATGAACCATCCCATCAGTCTCCAGATTCTGAGAAGCACAGCATGTCCCTATAAGTTGTTTTGACTTCATAAGAACAAACCACTAGCAAATGCAATTTACCTCAATGATGGTGCAAGGAAAATAAAAAAGGTACTCATGGTAATATTGCAAACTTTTATTTATTTTAAGTTCATTCTGTCATTGGGATTTCCAATTCATCCTTACAGGTGTATCTGTTATATCATTTTTAAAAAATTCATAGAGCTTCAACTGATGTGTTCCTTTTCATATATAGTTTGAACCAGTGGTGGGTTTCAAAAGTTTTTAGAACCTCTTCTGTGGGTGTGGCCTGCTTTGTGGGAGTGGCTTGCTGGCAATGTGACCGGGTAGGAGTGGCTTGCCAGCCATGTGACTGAGTGGGAGTGGCTTGCCAGCCATGTGACTG